CTCCCCAAAACCCCAAAACCCCCTAGTTAAAAATAATTAGAAAAATCTATGCAAATAAGATTAGAAATATATATTAAAAGTCTAATATATTTATATCGGGCATTTAAATATATTTAATAAATATGATAAGGCATTAATTAATTTTTGATTAGATCCAATACTCAAATCATCTTTAACTTAATTATAAAATATAGATAAAAGTTAACACTATATCATTAAGCCAAATACATTTCGATTCTCTTACAACTAACAGCAGATACACTTTCTACTGAATTTCCAGTCAGTAAAGAATTTAATCTTATATAAGTTACTTAGCTACCTTATTTTTCTTCTTCTTAGTTTTAAAAATCATCTGTGTAATATCCATTAATATCAGAGCCACATCTTGGAGTAAAAACAAGATCAATCTGTGAAGCACTTAATACAAAGAATTTTTTGTTGCTTGAGTAATAGCTTATTGTACTAACCTCAGTTCTATTATAAGGTAATGATTATCTTGCAGATAGACTAAAAATCACAGATTTAACTCTTCTATAGAGAGGAGAGCTATCACTTGGAGTGGAACCATTTATGTAATATCCAGTAATTGAATTATGGTCTGTTTTGTAAAGCAAAATAATATCAGTCCTGTTGGAGAAGGCATCAATACCCTCTTAAATTGAGCGTTAATTCTCATCTGCACCGTAAATCTAAGTCACTTTAGTGAAGTTTTTATTAGGAATCTAATTCATTATCCATTAGAAATCATCAGCATTAGCAAGTAGAGATTGGTATTATTGAGAGTTTACTATGATTTACTATTGTGTTGTAGTAGTGGCTGGAGGTTAAGTTGAAGGTGCTTATGTTAAAGATTATGATGGAGATGTTGCGCTAGGTTCAGATGTTGGCACTGAAGTTGGGACAGTAACTACATATTCAGCTTCATTTTGATGACCAGTCTAAGATGATAGACTTAACAAGCCTATTGAGTTGACAAGAGCAACTGAGATTTCATTGTATGCAGAGAGACAAACACCTTTGGCGCCTTCGACACTGTACCATTTCTAGGCAACTGTTTGCCACTTTAACAGAGTAAAATCAGTGGCATTATTTTCATCCTGAAGAGCCCAAAGAGAACCATCTATACCCGCGCTGATACTAACCAGTTTCCCCCCGCCATAAACTGCATCAACTGTGCCATCATTTGAAATTAGAATTGGTTCGTCTTTGAGTAAGGTGATTCCTTTGAATCCAGTAATGGCTTTATATTGATACTGACTAACTAAAGCTGGCTTAAACTAGCTAGAAACTGTATCTGCTGGTACAATTCCTGAGCCATCATTTAGAGCAATAATCTTTTTCTCAACAGTTACTTCAAAGTCTGAGACTCCACAGATTAATTTCTCATTTAATGAATTTCTGGCGCAGTTCTCAGCATCAAGGTAATAGATGTTTCCTAGTCTATCAAATCTGACAGCTTTAACATCAAAGCTGCTTTCTACAAGACTCCAAACATTTGCTGAAATATTGTAAATGTAGAGGAAGTATCTAGTTGCAGAAACTTCAGAAGATATTTTTTGTGGCATAGACATCTCCGTCTGGGGAAGTCTACACATCAATGAAGGCATTAACTACAGTCCATTTTAGTTCTTATGTTGCATTCCAATTGAATTTGTTCGTCGCCTCTTGCCTCCAAGAGAGTTAGCCTCTCTGTTTCTGAATTGCTTGGGATATTTAGATAGAACTACATTGTAGCGCCAGGAGTGCAGTAAGCACTATAGCTTTGTTCATTATTTTATATAACTAATTAATACAATCCTAGTGAAGTTTAAATAGTAAATCGAGTCTCTTAATAATAAATATCTGACGAGAATCTCTTGGCATTCTTACTCCTCAAGAGTTTGTAAAAACAATTGCTGATTGAAATTCATTAGATTATTATACGTTTGCATGATAAAAGAATAAGAATGAATACACATCAAAGATAAGGTTATTCAGATTAATATTTAAAGTTACTCTATACTTTATATAGTTAAAGCTATATTTTATGTTTTTTCACAGTTATAATTCTCAATAAATCAGGAAACCTAATGCATAATTAATCAGAAAAGTTAGTTTATAAACTTTGTAATGTTAAACAGCATTAAATGTAGATTTTATATAAAAAATAGAGGCTATTACTCCAAAATAGAACCAAAATTTGTACCCTATATTTAAAACTTTTTATTTTAATTTAATAAGCATTATGGCTATTGATGATTACTAATTAGTTTTGATAATTTGATGAATTAATTTCTAAGATATTCTTTCCATCAAATTAAAAAATGATGCTAATCGGGGTTTTGGGGTTTTGGGGTTTTGGGG